AATCATGCAATTGTAAGTAAATGTTTGGCCGAAAAGTAATGGCTGATCTTTTGTCGTGAATTCGGTCATTATAGCAACAAACAGGTTTTAAGACATGCAATAAAAGATACTTCTGGGTTTCAAATAACTGATTAAGTACCTTGGATCATTTGGAAGCCAAAACTGAGTCAATCGTGTTTCCACCAAATGAACGGACATTATTGAGATCTAAATGTCGTGTTTTTCTGTTGTCTATATTTCGAACTGCATATCTGAGAGATACATTGATTAAAACATCCCAACTAGGAGGTGTTGAATGTCCTGACTCCTTAGGGCACAATGTTGGCTGGGAATCAATTATACAATGATACTCGAGTACCCGTTTATTTCATCAAATGAAAAATAATCATACATGTGCTAACAAAATGCACGATATTGCTTACAGTCGGACGCGACTGAAATCGGTAAAAGATCAGGATTTATTTTTGTATTGCAACAAATGTTTATGTATTACTGTTAACAAACATTTCAATGATATCAAAATAAGTAATGTTAGTAATGTATGTGCTATGATCACAGAAATACGACTGATCAGTTAAAAGTTTGTATATAATATTTCAAAAGATAAGTTACATTGTAATGTTATCAACACATACTGATATGCGTTTGACCAGGGAGGAACAGAAGCTAGTGTCACGAGTATTTCAACTGGCGAAGAGTTGACTGCGGAACAGGAAGACAAAAGTGATACACGAGTAAGTAATCGTGACTTATATTGTAACAAAGGCAAGCTCGTATGTTAAACAACAGCATATAATTTAGGATACATTTGGACTGGAATTTGTGTGTAATATGTTACGTATAACGGGAATGCTATTGTATCACTCAATGTAAATCTATACAATTGAGTATAGGAGGATAGTTCCTGCCCGACCTTGACTGCATAGCTAATGAAACATGACAAATATATTGTTGAAAATGGAAACACTGGTTTTGGCGCCAAATTATTTGAAATATCTATTTTCATCCTTTACTTTTTACTTACTATATAAAGAAGACTTAAAACGAAAGATGATACTTTAATTAGTTATGACAATTTATTTCAAGGAAGAACCTATCGCCAAGGATCAGTTGGAACCGGAAATGAGGAAATCGAAAACAACCACAGAGGAAACACTTGGGTCACAGGTAATGTCTTTATCTTTGGATGAGATTTGATTCAAGACATACAAGTGAATATCTCCTTCTTATATAAATTTAGAATCTCGAAACAGTATAGCCGAAATGAAATGAAACAATGTTATACAGCCGGTTCGTCCGTCTAGGATCGTCAAGAATGCTAACGGGATGAATCATTTGTACTAAGGACGCGAATGAGGAAAATCATGAGCAGAGAAAATTGATTTTAAAAATCAGAGAGGTTCAGAGTTGTATTTACTGAAATTATGTATATAATTCGCCTGTTATCCAAAGAATTTGAATTAACATATCTTGTTGTTGTGCATGTGAAACTTATCCGGAGCGTTTTGCCTCTGGAAGCACAAGTCCAAAATCAATTTTGATATCATGATATGGACAATGACGTTACTTAATGAACTAAGAATATCACAGCAACATTGCCCCCTCCGTTTGATTTTGTACTCTTCATACTGTAAAACATGTCGATTATACCTTGCTGAGTTATGCTATTTCGTTTTCATCACGAAATGTTATAAACTAGTAAGTTCATAACTTGGTCTCGCAAAAATAAACAGAATTCTAAGAATATTTTCATAAAATCTCATTTTTAGATCCTATGTATCTGAACGTCATCAATAATGATTATTTCAAAAGGCAATGTTTTATTCATACGATCGAATGTTTTGTTGGCTAGGAGACAAATGAAGCTAATGCAGCCAGTTCTAACGTGAGTGATTTAACTGAGGAACAAACAAATATCAACAATATTGGGGTGAGTAAAGATCTTGAGAATAACAAAATAATGATCATATTTTCCTTTTACAGACTGTAAAATTTGATAGAATTTCTCTTTGACAAGAGGAACACCGAATCATGTGGTAGTACAATTATGGGCTGTTCTTATTATCATATTTATAATTCATATTGTCAATTTAGTATAACTGAAATACAGAAACATCAAATTACTTGTAAAATATATGCAAAATATCAAGTCACAAACGTTAATGAATTCATAATTTTATAGGAGGCAACTGGGGCTTGTATTTTGACCACTTACGATAAAGAGTTGACTGCAATAAAAGAGAACAACAATGATACACTTGTAAGTATATACTTCTTATGTTAAAATGACATATCATTAGGCACACTCGTTTTAATATTGTAAAGATACTTACCGATTCCATAAATCTAAACGATATTACTATTATGATTCGAAGGGTAAATCACATAAGTGATAAATATAAACTTTATTTATTTTACAACAATTGCGAAACTAGTTATGTCAACTTATACTAATCACTCTTGTTGGCCCGGATGTAAACGCGAGAGGGGTCTTATTGTGGGAGGAAACCGGAGTACCCGGGGAAAACCCACGTGGTCGGGCAGTTGAGCCCTTACCTTTTCACGTCCGTTCCGGGAATCGAGCCCCGGTCGGCTAGTTGAAAGGCGAGTGCGTTACCACTGCGCCACCCGACCACCCAAAAGTGATCTCTGAAACTTACTTTAAGTGTATATTTTGTTCGTTTATGTTTTACGAATGACTCATTCGCTACCTAGTTATATACACATCAAAAAGATATGGATAATTCGGATTTGCTACCTAAAGTAAAGTCAGTGTCACATTGATGTATGCTACTAAAATTTTGTAACCTGGTTTCGTTATTCCTCCCGGTTTTTCAGTGTTTCGTTGTACAGTTTTTGTTATCCTATGTTATATTAATTTTCAACAATGCATCATAATTCTTCCCAAAATCGTATTTTAATGATTCATTGCTCGTCAAGACTGTTTTCAGACGCACAAAATTAGACATCTTATATATGACTTCATATCGGCTACGTATTGTAATACTTATTCCGAAAAATTGTCCAGCAATGGTATCTATACATTATTTTTTTTTTCATGCGAAGGGAGATAATCGATGTCATCACTTGTGTTTCTTGTGAAACATCAAATGAAATGGAAGATTTCCTTCTGCAAATAATGGATTCGTTACAAAATTTACTGAATTCCAATTATTTTCTAAAGATGTGATCTACTAAGAGAAGTATTAAATAAAAACCAAATACGTGAATATAGATTTCTGGGTGCAGCGTATAATCAATAATAAACTGAATAACACCTTACATCTATCGTCCCACTATGGCTTGTCAGTAATGCAAGGGACTTAAAGTGTGGTGAACATAATGTCAAGCTCGAAAAAGGAAGTTTTTGTTTGACTGAACAATATGAGTTATTTATTACTAGGATGAACCTGTCACTGAATATAAGAAAAAGAAAAGAAAGAAAAGAAAGAAAAAGAAAACGAACAAGGAAAAAGAGTCGGACTTACAGGTAACACGTGTCTTCTTTGTCTCGTTGACCAATAATGAATAATTTGTTAACCACCAAAATTACTAAAAGCCATATATCTCCAACTCTTTATGTAAAATTGATTACTATAGAAACACCGTCAAAATGAAGGCAATTTTAGACACGAAAAGGGCAACAAAAGAAAATTAATAACGCACTTTTGAAATTGTCAAGAACCATCGTGATCGTACCAGAGAGCAAACACAATAAATATAACTATAAAGCAGCTCTGGATATTATTTCCAATTAAGAACCTTAAATCATATTAATATCACATATTGAATTATTAGCATGGACCGTATCTGTAAAATATCCCAATGACACAAATAAATACAGCTGAAGAATTTTTTGTTCAAATATCCAATTCACATTATGTTGCCTAGGGAGAATTTGAAGCTACAACTATGACACCTGTCGAGGGAGAGTTAACGGAAGAACTGATGGACAATAATCATGCAATTGTAAGTAAATGTTTGGCCGAAAAGTAATGGCTGATCTTTTGTCGTGAATTCGGTCATAATAGCAACAAACAGGTTTTAAGACATGCAATAAAAGATACTTCTGGGTTTCAAATAAATGATTAAGTACCTTGGATCATTTGGAAGCTAAAACTGAGTCAACCGCATTTCCATCATATAAACGGACATTATTGAGATCTAAATGTCGTGTTTCCTGTTGTTTATATTTTGAACTGCATATCTGAGAGATACATTGATTAACACATCCTAAATATGAGGTGATGAAAGTTCTGACTCCTTACGGCACAGTGTTGACTGGGAATCAATTATACAATGATACTCGAGTACCCGTTTATTTCATCAAATGAAAAATAATCATACATGTGCTGGCGAAATGCACGATATTGCTTACAGTCGGACGCGACTGAAATCGGTAAAAGATCAGGATTTATTTTTGTATTGCAACAAATGTTTATGTATTACTGTTAACAAACATTTCAATGATATCAAAATAAGTAATGTTAGTAATGTATGTGCTATGATCACAGAAATACGACTGATCAGTTAAAAGTTTGTATATAATATTTCAAAAGATAAGTTACATTGTAATGTTATCAACACATACTGATATGCGTTTGACCAGGGAGGAACAGAAGCTAGTGTCACGAGTATTTCAACTGGCGAAGAGTTGACTGCGGAACAGGAAGACATAAAAACTGATACACGAGTAAGTAATCGTGACTTATATTGAAACAAAGGCAAGCTCGTATGTTAAACAACAGCAGATAATTTAGGATACATTTGGACTGGAATTTGTGTGTATTATGTTACGTATAACGGGAATGCTATTGTATCACTCAATGTAAATCTATACAATTGAGTATAGGAGGATAGTTCCTGCCCGACTTTGACTGCATAGCTAATGAAACATGACAAATATATTGTTGAAAATGGAAACACTCTATTTTTCATCCTTTACTTTTTACTTACTATATAAAGAAGACTTAAAACGAAAGATGATACTTTAATTAGTTATGACAATTTATTTCAAGGAAGAACCTATCGCCAAGGATCAGTTGGAACCGGAAATGAGGAAATCGAAAACAACCACAGAGGAAACACTTGGGTCACAGGTAATGTCTTTATCTTTGGATGAGATTTGATTCAAGACATACAAGTGAATATCTCCTTCTTATATAAATTTAGAATCTCGAAACAGTATAGCCGAAATGAAATGAAACAATGTTATACAGCCGGTTCGTCCGTCTAGGATCGTCAAGAATGCTAACGGGATGAATCATTTGTACTAAGGACGCGACTGAGGAAAATCTTGAGCAGAGAAAATTGATTTTAAAAATCAGAGAGGTTCAGAGTTGTATTTACTGAAATTATGTATATAATTCGCCTGTTATCCAAAGAATTTGAATTAACATATCTTGTTGTTGTGCATGTGAAACTTATCCGGAGCGTTTTGCCTCTGGAAGCACAAGTCCAAAATCAATTTTGATATCATGATATGGACATTGACGTTACTTAATGAACTAAGAATATCACAGCAACATTGCCCCCTCCGTTTGATTTTGTACTCTTCATACTGTAAAACATGTCGATTATACCTTGCTGAGTTATGCTATTTCGTTTTCATCACGAAATGTTATAAACTAGTAAGTTCATAACTTGGTCTCGCAAAAATAAACAGAATTCTAAGAATATTTTCATAAAATCTCATTTTTAGATCCTATGTATCTGAACGTCATCAATAATGATTATTTCAAAAGGCAATGTTTTATTCATACGATCGAATGTTTTGTTGGCTAGGAGACAAATGAAGCTAATGCAGCCAGTTCTAACGTGAGTGATTTAACTGAGGAACAAACAAATATCAACAATATTGGGGTGAGTAAAGATCTTGAGAATAACAAAATAATGATCATATTTTCCTTTTACAGACTGTAAAATTTGATAGAATTTCTCTTTGACATGAGGAACACCGAATCATGTGGTAGTACAATTATGGGCTGTTCTTATTATCATATTTATAATTCATATTGTCAATTTAGTATAACTGAAATACAAAAACATCAAATTACTTGTAAAATATATGCAAAATATCAAGTCACAAACGTTAATGAATTCATAATTTTATAGGAGGCGACTGGGGCTTGTATTTTGACCACTTACGATAAAGAGTTGACTGCAATAAAAGAGAACAACAATGATACACTTGTAAGTATATACTTCTTATGTTAAAATGACATATCATTAGGCACACTCGTTTTAATATTGTAAAGATACTTACCGATTCCATAAATCTAAACGATATTACTATTATGATTCGAAGGGTAAATCACATAAGTGATAAATATAAACTTTATTTATTTTACAACAATTGCGAAACTAGTTATGTCAACTTATACTAATCACTCTTGTTGGCCCGGATGTAAACGCGAGAGGGGTCTTATTGTGGGAGGAAACCGGAGTACCCGGGGAAAACCCACGTGGTCGGGCAGTTGAGCCCTTACCTTTTCACGTCCGTTCCGGGAATCGAGCCCCGGTCGGCTAGTTGAAAGGCGAGTGCGTTACCACTGCGCCACCCGACCACCCAAAAGTGATCTCTGAAACTTACTTTAAGTGTATATTTTGTTCGTTTATGTTTTACGAATGACTCATTCGCTACCTAGTTATATACACATCAAAAAGATATGGATAATTCGGATTTGCTACCTAAAGTAAAGTCAGTGTCACATTGATGTATGCTACTAAAATTTTGTAACCTGGTTTCGTTATTCCTCCCGGTTTTTCAGTGTTTCGTTGTACAGTTTTTGTTATCCTATGTTATATTAATTTTCAACAATGCATCATAATTCTTCCCAAAATCGTATTTTAATGATTTATTGCTCGTCAAGACTGTTTTCAGACGCACAAAATTAGACATCTTATATATGACTTCATATCGGCTACGTATTGTAATACTTATTCCGAAAAATTGTCCAGCAATGGTATCTATACATTATTTTCTTTTTTTTCATGCAAAGGGAGATAATCGATGTCATCACTTGTGTTTCTTGTGAAACATCAAATGAAATGGAAGATTTCCTTCTGCAAATAATGGATTCGTTACAAAATTTACTGAATTCCAATTATTTTCTAAAGATGTGATCTACTAAGAGAAGTATTAAATAAAAACCAAATACGTGAATATAGATTTCTGGGTGCAGCGTATAATCAATAATAAACTGAATAACACCTTACATCTATCGTCCCACTATGGCTTGTCAGTAATGCAAGGGACTTAAAGTGTGGTGAACATAATGTCAAGCTCGAAAAAGGAAGTTTTTGTTTGACTGAACAATATGAGTTATTTATTACTAGGATGAACCTGTCACTGAATATAAGAAAAAGAAAAGAAAGAAAAGAAAGAAAAAGAAAACGAACAAGGAAAAAGAGTCGGACTTACAGGTAACACGTGTCTTCTTTGTCTCGTTGACCAATAATGAATAATTTGTTAACCACCAAAATTACTAAAAGCCATATATCTCCAACTCTTTATGTAAAATTGATTACTATAGAAACACCGTCAAAATGAAGGCAATTTTAGACACGAAAAGGGCAACAAAAGAAAATTAATAACGCACTTTTGAAATTGTCAAGAACCATCGTGATCGTACCAGAGAGCAAACACAATAAATATAACTATAAAGCAGCTCTGGATATTATTTCCAATTAAGAACCTTAAATCATATTAATATCACATATTGAATTATTAGCATGGACCGTATCTGTAAAATATCCCAATGACACAAATAAATACAGCTGAAGAATTTTTTGTTCAAATATCCAATTCACATTATGTTGCCTAGGGAGAATTTGAAGCTACAACTATGACACCTGTCGAGGGAGAGTTAACGGAAGAACTGATGGACAATAATCATGCAATTGTAAGTAAATGTTTGGCCGAAAAGTAATGGCTGATCTTTTGTCGTGAATTCGGTCATAATAGCAACAAACAGGTTTTAAGACATGCAATAAAAGATACTTCTGGGTTTCAAATAAATGATTAAGTACCTTGGATCATTTGGAAGCTAAAACTGAGTCAACCGCATTTCCATCATATAAACGGACATTATTGAGATCTAAATGTCGTGTTTCCTGTTGTTTATATTTTGAACTGCATATCTGAGAGATACAATGATTAACACATCCTAACTATGAGGTGATGAAAGTTCTGACTCCTTACGGCACAGTGTTGACTGGGAATCAATTACACAATGATACTCGAGTACCCGTTTATTTCATCAAATGAAAAATAATCATATATGTGCTGGCGAAATGCACGATATTGCTCACAATCGGACGCAATTGAAATCGGTAAAAGATCAGGATTTATTTTTGTATTGCAGCAAATGTTTATGTATTACTGTTAACAAGCATTTCAATGATATCAAAATAAGTACTGTCAGTAATGTATGTGCTGTGATCACAGAAATACGATTGATCAGTTAATAGTTTGTAAATAATAGTTCAAAAGACAAGTTACATTGTAATGCTATCAACACATACTGATACTGTTTGCATGATATATATCCATTAGATTAATTTATTAGCGGTAAGAAAATAATTTTTGGTGTCATAAATTGTTGGTAGTGATGTGTTAAATTTAGCAGTGTCCAATTACATTTTATAATATTTCAAAGTATTTCAACACATATTTATCAATGTTTTCATACCTATTCATATACATAAGCATCGAGGGTACAGGAGACCAAGGTTCACAAATTTTACTTTTATTACTCTGTATGTATGTATGTATGTATGTATGTATGTATGTATGTATGTATGTACGTGTATGTATGTTTGTATGTATGTGTGTGTGTGTGTGTGTGTGTGTGTGTGTGTGTGCGTGTGTGTGTGTGTGTGTGTGTGTGTGTGTATGTATGTATGTATGTATGTGTGTGTATGTGTATGTATGTTTGTATGTTTGTATGCTTGTGGAATGTTTTATTATTCATTATGTATGGAAATGATTTGTATATGTTATGTAAGCAGTCCAATCCAATTGTCTTTATAGCAATAAACGTTGATGAAATGAAGTGAAATAATGATACGTCATCAGTTGAAAATGTCCCAACACAACCGCTGTTCCCATTTTATTTTAACCATTACATTTTGAAAAATGTAACTTATTTGACATGTTTTAATTTCACATCAGAATATTGAAACTCGTAAGCCTCTTTTCGTAAAATGTTATATAAAATTATGATTCATTTACGATCGAATTTCATTATACATGTAATCAATCATGATTATTTCAAAAGACATATTTGCACTGCATAATCGACATGATGAATGTATTATCTTGTCTAGGAGATAACTGAAGCTAGTGCTGTCACTTCTTATGAGATAGAGTTAACTGAGGAACAGACTGACAAAAATGATACTAGAGTAAGTAAAAGAGATGGAGAATGAATAGTAATAATTTTATTTCCTTTGAACGTTCTGTAATATTTTACAGAATTATCTGACAAAAAAGACCGTGAGTAATATTTGAGTATAATACATGTAATGGACTTGTCGTAATTTGAACGCAAAAGGCAAGTTATGATTATTCGAAATATAAAAACCAAAAAGGCAAAATCAAACGTGAAATCTATGCAGTTTGCAAATATCAACTGAAGTCACCAACATTATTGTTGAACTCCCGATAGCGAGTTGACTGAAACAAAAGAGAACAATGGCGTATGTACTAAGAAACTTGTAAATGTGTTTACAGTATCCATAATCAACATTGTGATTATGACTTGAAGGTAAAAGAGGACATCATTACATTAAAGAATACAGGTTGTAGAGGAAAGATATATGGTATTAGTATTTATAATCATAATATAATGTCAGAAAATCATGGGAAATTATAATTATGTAACACAAATTCAATATCTAAAATTTCCTTTACGTTTGGTAATTTTTGACTGAAGAAAAACATGATATATTTGTAACAAGGAAGAACCAGACAATGAGCAGAAGAAGAAGAAAAGAACGAAAACGAACAAGGAACAAAAATCAGACTCACAGGAAAGATGTGTCTTGTTTGTAATTTTGACCAATATTGAATACTGTGTAATATGTTACTGATACAAGAGGCTGGTCACTTGGAAAATTGTTAATTGTGGCGAATGTACTACTACAGTCATGACACTGCAATTAAATTGATAACCATGATAATCCTTGGGTTGGTACATATTTTATAACTATAATTAAATCAAATCATAATTTTGACTATTTACTTTATCTATGAGAACTAACATGAGTTGACGTTTATATGAGATTGACGCATCGCCTTTGAGACGAGGTAAAATAATAAAAAATGATAATGAGATTAGAAAATCTCGCTTGAAATGGAAACGAATGTGAAATTATTTTTTTCACATAGATTGAAAAAAGCGGAATAACATTATTACAAACTCTTTATTGTATCTATTTCATTATCGCTCAATATTACTTTTTTACTTTACAGTACATATGAAGCCATAACGAGTTATGGCGACTCTAGAGCATCTTCGGACACATTTAGTTAATCATAAATATGTTATACTGGTAGCTATATCAACAAATGTACATTATTGTAGTTTATCTAAATATATATTGATTTATTTAAATGATGAACACTATCGTAATTCTCTTGTCTAGGAGGAGACTGACTGTAGTGCTGGGGTTGCCCAGGCTACACAACTGACTAAGGAACAGGAGGGGAAAACTGTAAGTATATCTTCTCATAATCTTCTCTTACATGGTACTCAGCTATATTATATTTCAACATTCCAAAAGATGATTTAAAAGGGATGTCAAATGTATATTCTCAATCGACGTCACTATTCATGAGGCATTTTTTAAATGTAGACTAACATTATTTTTTAACATATGTGAAGTCATATCTATCCAGAGAAGTAGTAGGAAAAACGATGGGAGAATGATCCATATACAATGTCAACAAAATATCTGCAACATTTCATTAGGTTTATTTAAAAGACAAGCATCGATGTTGTATAAATATCAATAAGTCATCAACTTATTCTAATATTCATTTGACTAGCAGGGGACCGAAGCTTGCGCTTTCACTATCAACGACAGAAAATTGAATGAAGATCAGAAGGACAACAGTAATGACCGAGTGAGTAAAGATTGGAAGGATAAAAGAAAAAGTTCTATTTTCCTTCTTCTGTCTATAATGAATTCAAAAGCATCTTTGAATTCTGATTTGACTTCTGCATTGTATGGAGATAATCAATTATCAGTTTGGAGTGCTAACATAATATGGATGCAAATTCTCGATTTAAAACTGGGAGTTTTATACAAACTTGTATCGTTATGTTATCATCACATGTTTGTTTTCGGTAGGCTAGGGGACAGCTGAAGTGGTAACTACTGAAGAAAGAGAGTTTAATTATCAATGTAAAGACAGTAGTGATACACGAGCAAGCATGAATTATGAAAAATTAAAAAAGAAAAAGTAGTACTTAATCGGTACATGTACATGAGGATAACGTATATTAACGAGTATATAGGGATTCCTTTTTATGAGTCGTTTTGTCGTATTCCAGTGAAGAAAGGTGATATACATATTCATTAAAAGGGCGCTAATGCTGGTTCTTCCGCAGCGTTACCTGAGACTATAACTTATTCTTTTACCATTTAACTCGTGTTACGTTTTCAAAGCTATTCAATATGTTCTGGTCGAAAGAGAAAATCAGAGTAAAAACTCTTTTCTGAATACAGTATTATTGCCCTCGTGTTTTTTCGCGCATTATGTTGAATAACGATAAGTTGAAATGCTTCAAGTACAATTATTTCCTCAGCCAAAAAGAATATGAACTTACTATTTCATCAGAGATAATCGGTTGTGTTCTTCAATCAGATATCAACAAACAACGAAAGATATTGCATATTCACAAAATCTTGCTTATTAATCTAATGCAACTTTATTAAGAAGGTTTCTAAGCCTAGAAAATGTTAGTTAATTCCTTTTGAATCGATGTCATCATTTATAACTAGAAAGACCCTGTCACTGAGAAAAGGGATTGGAAATACAAAATAGTCTGTAAACACATACTGCCATACAAGAGTTAAATACTCAAAGTTATACCATATAGGTACAGATTAAAGGAACTAATTTTTTTTATTAAATAAGGACATATAAGCCCATTCTAAAATGTAATTTTAATCAAAACTTATTAATTAAAGGGCAAAACATGAACAAAGGAGCTATTTACTCATAAATAATTCAGGAATCCTAAAACTATCATATCAACAAAAAGGTAAATATATCAATATATTTACATTTGCGCTTCCAATTCCGTAATTCGTAATTCCGGAACGGGAACCTCTTTCAACACTTCATAGGCATATTGACTATATTGTTTTCGTTTCTCGCAATATTTTAATGGTAGAGTTGTAAATCTATTTGCCTCCTTTTATTAATGATATGCTAATACTAATGGACCAACAACATATTACTGTCCCCCAATCCTGAAATTGACAGAACGAAATCTTAACCTACAGTTCTCGATATCAATTGGACCATGCCTATGATAGACTGTTAGTAATAGATGAGCCCAGCGCTCCACCTGATTTTGTTAAAACATAGCAATGGCATCATGTCTGGTAATTTCTTTTAACGTAATTGAAAATTTTATGAAAATATTTTAGCCCTTTTTACATTTGAAATGCAGTTATTTTTGTGATACATGTTATACAAACTGAACTCCATATGTTCATTTACACTATATGGTTACTGATATTTTTCTCCATGGGAACACCTGAGAATTCCCGATAAAAACTGTTATTTTTGCAATGAATCATCCTTCGTTAAGTTATGTTTCAGATTAAATGTATGGATACATTCAATCCGTATACGAAACGCAATATAAACAGTCATAAATAGCATAAGGTAGAAGCCTGGCTACACAAAAATACCGAAAAAAACGAACATATCATCGTAATCATAGTCCAAACTTTAAAACAATAACACCAGGGATAATATGGACAAAAGAAAGATTTACAAGGAGAAATACAATGATAATAAGACCTGGGCCCATATTCATAAAAGAAACGTTTTCATGCTCAAGCATGGAATTTGTGCTCAAGCCTTATGCCTTGTTCAAGTTAAAGATTGATAAAATAAGGCTTATTTTGCCGAAAATTTAAAAACGATTTTGAAAGTACTTCAAGTCAAAGCTATATTCAAGGTTGCTTTGCGCGAAATCATACTTTTTATACTTGTTTCACTGGGAAAAGACGACTTGCATTACCACCATTCCCCAAGAACATGACGAAAGCTTGTCTGTCTGAAGAGCTCCGTCAAGACAATGTAGACAAAGAGAGACAGATGAGGGTATCGCTATTATAAAGTGTCACTGAATGTTTCTCTGGTGTCTATCAAATTCTATAATTATTAAATTAGATCGAATAATGTTTTCATTCAGCTTGTACTCGTCTAGCAAAAATTTGATAAAGAGTTTGAGGATTCAACAAAAGAGAAAAGTAACACTAAAATAACCTAAGACCAAGTTTTGATTTGTGTTACATTCATTCAACAACATTACGCTTGTATTTCAGAAGATGACCTACGCTGACTGCTTGAAATCAGAGAAAGCAGAACGTAAAAGTAAGAAAATTATTATTTTAAAAAAATAGTTGCACTATCACATATCTTTTAGGCATTATTAACCATTTTATGGGATAGCATGACGTATCGTCCGGACATGATTCGAACATAATAAGTTTTGTATGAAAGCGAGGCCGCCATTCCAGCCCGATGCACATTATTAATCTCTTTATATGCATCGATGTGGTAATAAGACAATCTATAATTAATTATGTATCTTTCTGGGAATATTTATAAAACATTATATTTAATTTAATTCGTAATGCATATATCTACTTTCAGTATCAAAACATAAGAGAAGAAGCATGGAAAGATCTGAACAATCCGATGTAGAAACCATTTCATTCAAATTCGATGAAGAGGAGGAAGACGTTCATGATAGTGATCTGGAATTGACCAATGAAAATGGTATTTATAATGAGGATGATACTGAAACATGGTTTGAAAAAAGTTGTAATAGGTATGACTCTCAATGCGAAGTTTCCAAAATATCTGAAGATCATCTTCTAGAAACAAATGTCCTGACGGGAGTCGAATTGACCGATGCTTACATGGAGAAATTTACGACAAAGGTTAAGTCGTTAGAACGAGAAGATTTCTACACTGTAAAGCTTACAAACGATTTGCTCGAATTATGTAAAACCAATCCCAGCCTATACGTACATTGCCAACTTGAAATACAGTCGTCACATAACGCCGTGGCAATACCGCTGAACCCAGTACAAGAACTTGGAAGAATAGACATTCTTGGTAGATCCAAATGCGGACAGGCATTTACAGAGGATGAGGTTGCGGTTGAAATACTTCAGAAGAAGATGTGTAAAAACACATCGGTCTTGAAAAAGGAATTGAAAGACGCAGATGCATACGGAAAAGTCGTAGGTATTATTAAAAGAGTACGGCATAGAAATATCGCACATCCCGTTTTTATTGCAACTCAAGATCCGCATGCTGGTCACTTAATGCTACCGGTGTGCAAGACGATACCAAAAATCAGCGTGCTAACTGAAAATATAAAGCTATATTACCCAAAACAAAAGATGAACAAAGTGGAAGTTTATGAATATATTCAATCAAAAGGGGTTCTCCGTTATAAAAAAATACTACACATAAGACCAGAAGAAAGGGATCAATACAGGTTTCTTATATGTTACCTATACTGGGGAGTGAAATATGTATATCCACGCGGGGCAGTTATTGGTGTATTGCGAACAAAGGCATCTGATATCGGAACTGGATTGAAAGTCATTGGTATTCAAAACCAAGTACCCACATTTTACAATGAATCTACCGTCAGAGGAGTGCAACACATAATTGCAGAACCTAGTGAATCTTCAAATGGTTCCCGGTTAGACCTCACAAAAATACTTTCTTTTACTATAGATCCACCAAATGCAAGGGACTTGGATGATGCGCTGAGTGTCGAGGTCATTGCAAGAGATACTTACCAGGTTGGTGTTCACATTGCTGATGTGACTTCAAAAATACCTCTTGAAAGCGACATTGATAAAGAAGCCAGAATAAGATGTTCGACATACTACTCGATTTCAGGGGCAAGAGCTTTACATATGCTGCCTGAACCGCTGAGTCAAGATATCCTCAGTCTTCTTCCGCATCAGAAACGCGCTGCAATATCAGTATTCTTTACTGTGAAAGAAAATGGGAGCATAGAAGGAACTCCAGGAATTCGACGTACCTACATACAATCAAAAAAACGTCTTACATACAAAGAAGCTCAAACTATGATTGATACAGCGGTTTCGTCTCATGATCGTCTTCATGAAAACATCAAATGTTTAAACAAGTTAGCAAAGAACAGGCGCCGTGATCGCTTGAAAGGATCATTGCATGCCTTCCCTGTTGAATTCGATTATTCAGTTGATACAAAAGATATTTTGCAGAATATCGACGCCCACAATCTAGTGGAAGAATTCATGATTATGGCAAACCATGCTGTTGGTCAATACCTTATGGAGGAATGTAACGGCATTGTTCCTTTAAGATGTCAAAACAAACCTGAAAATGACTCCCTTTGTTCATGGTTGAACAAAAACACTCACCTAGCAGATATAATTATTGCACTACAAGATAAGGAATTAAATACCAATTTGACATCGAGAACACTGAACGTTGCAAATGTTCCCAAATCCAGGTGGACTCGTTTGTTGCCTGTTCAAACTTGGGTTTGGAAAGCTATTGTCAATGCTGCTGAGGAAAATAATGTTCAACGGGTGGAACAGCTCATCGGATGTGATGACCTGCACCCTCAACAAAGTTTTGCCCTTCAGGAATGGATGTCATTCCAGGAGACCGCAAGGTACACATGCACAGGATCCAATGGATTATCAGAGACAGATTCAAATCATTTTTCTCTTGATCTTCACAATTATGTTCACTTCACTTCCCCTATCCGGAGGTATGTCGATATGGTAATTCATAGACTTCTGCATGCAGCTATCGACAGACATGAGCAATTACCTTATACAAGACAAGAAATAGATGAAATATGTAGCGATATGAATCAGGCATGCGAAAGGGCAAAGTTGTACCAGAAGCAATGTAACATGTTTTTGCAGTCAACAAAGCTGAAGAGCCATCCACAGAAGTTAATTGGATTTGTAGAGGACATGTCAGATGAAGGAGTGACCTTGCATTTTCCCGGACTAAAACACGTCCAGATGCAAAGAAGAATGTTAAAATTCAATATTTTAGGCGTTTCGTCTCAACCGCAAATCAAAGAGGATTTAGATCTCGTTTCGCCAAACACACGCGAGGAACGTGTGGTAACATCGGTCATATGGAAAAAACGAATTTATCTGCACAAAGGCATTAAAAAAGAGCCACAGAATACAACAAACAAAGATGCAGATGACATACAAAACGTTGACCCTCATCAACGCACGACATTTCTCAAATATACAGTCTGGATAGATATACTGACTGCAATCTTGGAGAAAAAGCACAGCAAACTGATCAAACTTATCACGGACACCGAAAAAGATGCAAAATTCGGAGCATCACACAATTATGTAAAATCAAGTCTAGGTGCTGCACAGGACGTCAGCTGCGAGAACGTAAGTAGTGTGTTTGTCAACCCAATCTGCAAATTCAAACTTCCATTCCACCTTAATCAGACAGTTTCGGTACAGATGACAGCTGAGTATGACAAAGGAACACTGGTGCCGTATATACAGGTATTCGATATGACACAGAACGTTTCGTTTTGCTTACAACATGTCGATAACCCTGTCAAATTTCTTGCCAAATATTCAAGTGTGCCATCAGTGTCCGAGTACAAAAGCCTAAAACACTACATAAGTACTTGGTTGCCTATAATTCAGATGGAGGCAGCTACAAATGCAGTGAGAAATGAAGAATCCGCCTCTGTTATTGGAGTACCAATACAGTTTCTCGGGCGAAATGGCCATTTCTATCTCAATATACATTTCTGCAGGTTGAGGGAAATAGAGTTTGGAAACACGGCATTGGAAATTTTTAAAGACAACACTGAGGAAAAACCAGATGTGAAAAATACAGAGGAGTTAAAGGAAATAATATGTTCAAATTACTTGTGCATTCGCTGTCCCGTTAGAAGGAATACACCAAAAGATCACAAGAGATCCGCTCAGGGTAGGATCGTTGACGAGAAAAAGATGTGGATATGCCATGGTGTATTTACACACATGAGAAAAACAAAAGTAAAAGAAAATGGACACTGCTTTGAAGTTCATTTTAAGCTCAACGATGACAGTGCACCTGCTCCAATAAAAGCTGTAGAAACATTGGACAAGTGTAGCCTAGAGATACTGAGTAAATCGAAAGTTGACAGGTATAGCATTATTATTTCAAGATATCTACCTTAAATATCGATTAAAATCGTGAACATGGACGTTTTTTAATAGTATTTACATTAAAATTGAAGACATAATCTCAGAAAATGATATATTTTTGTCAACTTTGGTAAATAACTATCTTTAAATTTAAACACCGAGAATGCTTTTGTATTACCAGAATAGTATAGAATGTCGAATATTTTGCTTTCTTTCCATACACGAGGCGGACGGAGAATATGATGAAGCTACTACCTGACGCAACCTGCTTAGCTCAATCTATTGCCCTTGCAAACCCGATTCCGAAGTTAGGTGTGTAATCTTTTTTTTTTAAATTTTGATTAGATGAAAATGGTTTTGATACACTTTTATAATATATCATTTGTTAAGAAACGAATTCCATTTGTCGATAGCAACAACGCTGCATCCCCAACCTATGGCGTTTTTACGTCGCAAATTAATCGATATTCAAGGCTTGTTCCCAGTTATTGACAGACAAACTCGTAGTACAGGGTCTCAAAAGATATAGGTTGGTGAAAATTGTTGGAAAGTTTTATTCTATTTCTTTTATATTACATACTTGGATTGACCAAGAATTTTGGGTGTCGTCGATGAAACAGAAGACGTGTAGACCTTTTGTTCGTATTTTTGCTCTATATTTATTTATTCAATTTGAGTTTGAATTAGGAATGTGTTGACATGCTATATTTTCTTGATGTTTTATGCTCCCCCAAAAATTTTCGCCGCCATGTCCATCCGTCCTTCTATGTCCTGAGCATAACTTTGCCAACAGTTAAGCAAGGATCATGAAACTTGATGTAAATATTTGTTATGCCAAGGCAATGTGCAGTGTACCAAGTTCAGGGCCCTTGACACCTCAATTATAGAGTTGTTTCCCTTTGTTAAAAATATATTGTCAAGAGCATAACTTTGCTTGCACAGGAGGTGGGATAATGAAACTTGGTAAATACATCGATCATACGAAGAAAGTGTGCAGTGTCCCAATGTTAAGGCCACCAACCCCTTGAACACAGAGTTTAAAAATAACTATGCCCGAAGATAAGCAACGAGAATGAAAAGAGTGTATAAAATACATTGATTATACTAAGACGATATGATGTGTACCAAATTTAGGGCACTCGACCTCTCAATTACAAAAAATGGGATCATGAAATTTGGTGAATATATTGGTCATGTTAAGAGAATGTGCATTATACTAAATTCAGAATTAAGACTCATTGTTAGAATTTTGTGTCCAACAAAGTTGCTTTTGGGAAGCATTCATCAGTTTTACTGATACAGTAGTTTATAGCTGAATTAGCATTTATTATGTTTATATTTCAAGACAGTGCTATGTATTGACGATTTCTAGCGTGTTAACATCTTCTGTGTTTAGATAATTTCCATTACGAAATTGCGGACGAAATTCCGAGAGATATTGAAATATCTTCGCTACCGAAGAACAACCAACAGCAACACAAAGCCATAGAAAATGCTCTTACATCTCGTTTCAGTCTAATCCAAGGCCCACCAGGTAATGTTTATTTTTAATCAAAATATGTCATATCATGTGTTAATCAGTAGAGTTGAATTAATCTTCTTAAGAATTTACATTAATAAAAACGAAATCGTTCTTATTTGTGAAAGCGGGAAAGCCCTTCACACAAATACTTCATTTCACTGTAGCTGTTATTCAAAAAAATTAATGACTACATATTTACATACAATAAATTTATTCATAATATAGATATAATTGTATTCTTTTATCATATACCTGTGTGTTTCAGGGGGATGGCCATGAAGCCCCTAATCCGAATAATCGTTGTGTTTTCTTAGTATTGACAAATGTCTTGTGATTCTCTCACTTACTTCAAAAACCTAACATGTATTGCTAATGTGATAATTTGTATCCATACATCATACTTGTTTAAACGCCAATACGGTATAGCACATAGTGATATTTGCATCAAAAGTTACAATTCAAGTATGTATGAACTTAAATCTATAATGACATTAAACCAGTTGCTTTATGTCTGAAAACAGGTACAGGGAAAACATTCACAGGGATAAAGCTCATCTACCTTTTCAGCCTTTTTAACCAAAAGTACTTCGAGAAGACGCATGAAAGACGACAGGTAGTGTTTTCTGGACCATCTAACAAATCTGTTGATCTCGTGGCAAGTAAGTATACTGTCTGAGCTAAGAAAAGGTTTGGGAGAATAACTGAATCCTTTTTCATCAGAAGAGCGCCTGTTACTACTAATATGAAAACTAATCAATCTGTATTACTGATATAATGCTTTTCTTTTGCAGGACAAGTGCTTCAAAGGCTGTCTCACCTCGCTCCAAGGATTATTCGAATGTATGGGCAGGCATACGAGTTCCTTGATTTTCCAATTCCAGGAAAAATCACTTGTTCTCGCCGTTCAATTCGTGATTCCAAACCTGACGAAGATCTCAAAGAAAAGGGGGCAGTGCTCCACCATGTCATACGTGAGTGCGGAAAACCTTATGCCGAAAGCTTAAAGTCGTTTGATAAAAAATTCGAAAATAAATCATACACAGCATCGATCGAAGAAATTGACAAATATCAGGAAATTCTTAGCAAGGCAACACAGGAAGAATTAATGAACTACGATGTGATCCTGTGTACCGCTTCTATGGCTGGAAATCCCAAGTTATTGAAGGCTACAAAAGGAAAGGTTTATCAATGTATCATTGACGAATGTGGCATGTGTACAGAACCTGAGTGTATGGTACCACCAATAGCGACACGAGCAGAACAAGTGGTTCTCATAGGGGACCACAAACAACTACAGCCAATAATTCTGTGTAGGGAAGCAGGGGAAATGGGGCTTGAGACGTCATTGTTTGAACGGTATGCAAATCTAAAAAAGAAAAGTGAAAGGCTGAATATGAAATATACTATGCTCACATGGCAGTATAGAATGGTGAGTAACCTCATAATTCTACTTTTGAAAAAATACTGGTTATTTTGTTGTATTAAACAAATTTCAAAAAAGTCCTTCAATTTCACTTTCAGACATATTGGTGACGTCTTATCTTTAGATAACAAGACATTTATTTACCACGTGCATCGTAATTATCCAGTAGGATTGGAAATCAAGGTCTTGAAAGATTCTTCTACATGAGTCGCTTATTTCGAAATTCTCTTACAACGAAATGAACATAATCTGCCTTCAATCAAGCTGTATGATAAGTGTGACGATTTCAATTTCTCTATGCCTGCATCCCCAACCTATGGTGTTGATCCAATACTCAGGGGGCTGTTCCCAATATCTCGATTTTCATAAATAATATCATTAACTGACAGACTTATATCACTGGGTTTTCAAATGTTGCAGGTTGGTGAATATTACTGGAAAATTTTACTCTCGTCAGAGTTTTTTCATTGCGAAATGTTCTTTCTTTTTGCGATATGATACTGGTCGTGTTTGATGCTTGTCAGTTTGCCAGTTGGTTCCGTTGTTGTATACCTTGGTCTCATTTTAGACTCACCAAGATTTACATAGCGGTGTTGTCGATGAAGCAGAAGACGCTTCTTTTGGAATACCTAAACTCATTCTCGTCTTACTTTTATATTAATGTCGGTGTAAATCTTTCTTTTGTTCATAATTTGTACTGGTCTTTTATTGAGTTTTATAATTATGTTCGCATGTCAGTATTTTATTTTATTTTTTTAAGCAAGATTAACATGACAAGTGTGATAACTGGGAAAAGATAGTTATCTTTCAGAAACACATCAGGTTGGGGAAGAAGGGATGTTGCTATTCTGACATGCAAATTCATGCAAGTTGTAGATAAAATTAGAAGTCTCTCCGGTCCTTGCTTTCCGGGGAATTTGATTTTCGATGTTTCTGTTTCGGCATTATGCACGCTATGTTGTATGTTTTTACACATTGAATTTTACAAATACTTTACACACAAATCTGCTTCTGCAACGTTTTTTTTATATTTGGTAAATTTGCCTCTGTATTGTACTAAGTATGTGATAGTTGGTTATCACAATTTGATAACAATGCCATCATTTACGTTTTGTTCATAACAGGTTGACGCATTTAAGTTTCTAATAACATATTGATCTTTGAAACTACAGAACCCAAAGATATGTGAATTTCCGTCAGAGAAATTCTATGGTGGAAAATTAAAAACAGCAAATTCTAGCTATTGGAAGGTGGATAAACCTTTGCGGATCTGGAACAACCCAAGCAGTAACGAACACATACCTCTTGCGTTTTGTCATATTGAGGGAACAGAGGAGACTCTGACTGTGTCTACTGAAGAAGGCAACGAACAGTCAAGAAAAAACAAGAAAGAAGCTGAGCACGTTGTAAGAAAAGCTTTATCTAAGGAATAGCTCTTACTAATTTGTGTAGTTACATAGCAACAATCTGTGCATTTCATTTCGTCGTTCGTTGATGTAGCATGTGGTTTCACCTCCCGCTTTAAGAACTGTGCTACTATACTATTTGAACACATACACGTATTTGATCAGCCATATGTGATTTTATAGGTAATGAGATTAACAATTTGTATCTCCGATACTTTAACACATAAATATTGTTCACATTTAAAATTTAGCAGTTTTTGTTTCACGTCTGATTCATTGTACTGAAATATTGTTATATATATATAGGCTCGAGTCTTCAAACATTTGATAGACATCGAAAAAGTCAAGGTTAGCAATATCCAGATCATGACCCAGTACAATGCCCAGCGCCATGCCATACAGGAGATATTGAGGGAGAAGGAAAAGCTTATCAACATTAAGGTCAACACAGTTGTGAAGAGTCAAGGTAAAATTCCATTGACTAGGATTCCACTGAAATAACATGTCTGAAACATTTGATGACTCTCCCATTGCCTTGCACATTCTAACTTTAGTTTGAGTTGATTTTCTGAAATACCAACTTTTCCTGATTCAAAAGCAGTTTAAGACATTAACTTAAAGTTTCTGTGTGATTTTAAGTTTATTATTCATATGACGTTTTGTTTATTTCGTTCACCATTGTAATTCAACAGGGAGTGAGTGGGACTACGTGATATTCAGCACGGTTCGTTCCTTGCCGAGATATCTGATAGAGAATAATCCCACCATAGGCTGGTGCATTCAAAATTTGGGCTTCATCACAGATCAGCACCAGGTCAACGTGGCGCTTACCCGAGCACGTCGAGGACTCATCATCGTTGGTAAGGCTTATTCATAACTACTTAATAATGTTGAACCTTGTTAGAGGAATTGAAAGCATGCTTATAATTTATTATTGCATTATATAAAATGCAAAATGTGACGTGTACGGACGCAGTACAACACCAAATATGTTTAATTACACACGATACGCTGCGGTTTTAATGACTTTGTAGGCAGAAATAGCAGAGGTTTATCCTCTGTTTTAGGTTTAGATTTATTTGTAATTATCTATTAGATCACGATATTTGAACACATCTTGACCCTTGCTTCAATATATTAATATCGAAGGCACGGGTGACAAAGATGTACTAATTTTACCGTTTGTTACTGGGGAGAGGACTTGTAGTGGTTATATTTGCGCTATACACTGTAAATGATAGATTTTAACATTTCTTTTACTGTTGATTTTCTTCGTTCGCCTCCGAGGCTTCAACATTTAGGACCTTGGCATCCCTAAAGAGTTCTAAAAAGACGAGACGTCTGTTAGATGCTGCGTACTTCGTCATTTGGTTATATTGCGTCTATTTCTTAATTTGAAATGAAATAGGTAATTCTCTTGTGTTTCTCTTGGAAAGTTTTAAAGATACGAGTCAGAGTAAATAACACTTCTATACAGCATTGCTTTTACAGTTGTGTTATTCATCGTCACAGGAAACAAGCACCTGCTGCGATGTGATGAGGTCTGGCGCGACCTAATCACAAAGTATGAAGCAAAGGATTTGGTGTACTCACATCATGAGTTTCCACCGGAGAGTCACCGCCGACAGGACAGACAGCAACGTCCACCGAGATTTCGACGTAATTGATGGCGAAAGCGATTTTACTTCACTTACAAGCATGGCACATTGCAGTTCTCCTACGTGTCAGCACTGTGTAATGTACGACTACCTTCGCAGAAAGGGAAAGAAACATAATCGAATCTGGTTACTTAGTAAAACTACTAAATGATGTATAGTTTACATTGTATTTACAATACATGGCTGCATGTAATAGTGTTTTGAAGCAGCTAATAAGTTCAATTTGGATTCGCACGTAAAATACGGCAAAATGACATTTGATGACTTTTATATCAAGCGTTGCCACCAAATTAGTGCGAAACAGCAACGAAGCGATGTCTGATCGTCAGTTTTTACATGAGTTTGTGAGCTAGAATTCGACCTTTTGCTTTAAAAAATAATCAGTGCATATCTTCCAAATATGTCTATAGATACAATGTGAATATCCTCTGAACACAAGTTTGATTGGTGAACGACAAATCCGTATGTCTGCTGTTCTGTAATATTTGGTATATTTCATTCATAATGCTTTAATATATTGCGTGATATTTAGTTTAAGGGTCCAATATATAACACTCTGTAGAAGTACAAGGCCTTGACACCACGTGTATTTATTTGTATAAAACACTCTGTAGAAGTACAAGGCCTTGACACCACGTGTATTTATTTGTATAAAACACTCTGTAGAAGTACAAGGCCTTGACACCGCGTGTATTTATTTGTATAAAACACTCTGTAGAAGTACAAGGCCTTGACACCACGTGTATTTATTTGTATAAAACACTCTGTAGAAGTACAAGGCCTTGACACCACGTGTATTTATTTGTATAAAACACTCTGTAGAAGTACAAGGCCTTGACACCACGTGTATTTATTTGTATAAAACACTCTGTAGAAGTACAAGGCCTTGACACCACGTGTATTTATTTGTATAAAACACTCTGTAGAAGTACAAGGCCTTGACACCACGTGTATTTATTTGTATAAAACACTCTGTAGAAGTACAAGGCCTTGACACCACGTGTATTTATTTGTATAAAACACTCTGTAGAAGTACAAGGCCTTGACACCACGTGTATTTATTTGTATAAATCATTCTCTGTAGAAGTACAAGGCCTTGACACCGCGTGTATTTATATGTATAAAACTATCATTAGAAGCTGGAGGCCTTAATATCAAGTTTATTGTTTATTTGTACTTTTTAGGAGTCTTTTGTTTGTCAATTTGACATGTTGACATGTTGGTGTTTTCTTGTATTTTATATGTACAAAGCACTCTGTATATGTGCAAAGCCTTAATCTTAGGTGTATTTACGTTGTTTCTATTTTGCCAAAGTATACATTGTATCAGAATGATTTTACTATCAGTATCATACATTAAGGTTTATAAATGCAGTTTTGTTAATCTTTTTTATGGAAAATCCCGGTGTTGCATTGCAGTTTTCAATGTACATGTATGTAAAACGGTATTTCCAACTGGTTACATCAATATTTCGTGAAACGAGATACGAGCGAAAGGAGAGTGATGGTTTGAATTAAGTTGCAACTGCTTAAAGTGAAAGGAAATTATGATATATAACCTCATTGTGATAACTACATGCTAGAATGTAATACATGTAATATATATTTTCTAAGTCTATTATACTTTCGACGTTCCGCTGGCACCTACACCAGGCGCACAGTTGTGACATGGAACCAGAGACCATTATCTATGAAGCCATGAAATCCTCCAACACCTGATGGTATCGTTAATTTTCGGGATATTGCCAACAGAAATCTGTGATGCCCGAAATTTAATTCAATCGATCAATTGATCAATGAGATATTGGTTTTTCAAAACTACTTATTTTGTCCCCAGTCATTGATTTTGCATAACATATATAACGTAACATACCACTTGTGCTAACACATGTGAATATTAAATAATTGTCATATGTGCTTCGCGCAAATTTCACATATCTCTTCATTTTTTTATCAATTTTTACATACTAACGATATTTTGAAACCTGACTCTTCTGTCATCAGCAAATGCCACTAAATTGTCAGACAGTAAATTTTACCCGTCTTATAACAGGTGTCACGTGTCGCTTCTGTTACGGACATACGTCCCCTGTTTTGTGAACAGCTATATTGTTACCTGTTTGTTTTAGCTATTGTATGTCAAATCCCTTTTTTAAGGTAATTCAATTCTCATATTATGATAAGATACACCGTGTCAACATTGTTCATATCACACTTGTTATAAACAGATATCTCATGTTTTGGGGATATTATAATATCACGTGTTTTAACGCAATTATTATAAATTATCATATGTCATTGTAAATACATGTTACATGATTTATTGAGACTCCTTAATAGTTACATGCAGCTACAATATGATAAATGTTTTATGAATAGTTATTATAAAGAGCACGTCTTACAATTATCAGCTGGCTTATGTTTACTAGACATATCACATTTGTTTGATAAATAATCATACATTAACAATTATTATGTGGAACATGTCTTTCAGACATTTATTATATGTCACATATGATATTTACAGCTGTAACAAGTCACATACGTTATAAATAATTATCATAGGCCATATATGTTATCACATGTCACATGTCACGTGATATAAAGAGTTGTCAAATACCACTTATGTTACAAACCGTTATCACATGTCACGTGATATAAAGGACTGTCACATACCACTTATGTTACAAACCGTTATCACATGTCACGTGATATAAAGGGCTGTCACATACCACTTATGTTACAAACCGTTATCACATGTCACGTGATATAAAGGGCTGTCACATACCACTTATGTTATAAACCGTTATCACATGTCACGTGATATAAAGGACTGTCACATACCACTCATGTCACAAACCGTTATCACATGTCACGTGATATAAAAAGTTGTCACATACCACTTATGTTACAAACCGTTATCACATGTCACGTGATATAAAGGGCTGTCACATACCACTTATGTTATAAACCGTTATCTCATGTCACGTGTCACATACCACTCATGTCACAAACCGTTATCACATGTCACGTGATATAAAGGGCTGTCACATACCACTTATGTTACAAACCGTTATCACATGTCACGTGATATAAAGGGCTGTCACATACCACTTATGTTATAAACCGTTATCACATGTCACGTGATATAAAGGGCTGTCACATACCACGTATGTTATAAACCGTTATCACATGTCACGTGATATAAAGGGCTGTCACATACCACTTATGTTACAAACAGTTATCACATGTCACGTGATATAAAAAGTTGTCACATACCACTTATGTTACAAACCGTTATCACATGTCACGTGATATAAAGGGCTGTCACATACCACTTATGTTACAAACCGTTATCACATGTCACGTGATATAAAGGACTGTCACATACCACTTATGTTACACACCGTTATCACATGTCACGTGATATAAAAAGTTGTCACATACCACTTATGTTACAAACCGTTATCACATGTCACGTGATATAAAGGGCTGTCACATACCACTTATGTTACAAACCGTTATCACATGTCACGTGATATAAAGGGCTGTCACATACCACTTATGTAACAAACCGTTATCACATGTCACGTGATATAAAGGGCTGTCACATACCACTTATGTTATAAACCGTTATTACATGTCACGTGATATAAAGGGCTGTCACATACCACTTATGTTATAAACCGTTATTACATGTCACGTGATATAAAGGGCTGTCACACACCACTTTTGTTATAAACCGTTATCACATGTCACGTGATATAAAGAGTTATCACATCCCACTCATATTTTCAACATATATGGCATGTCACATGGTTTATATGGCTATACGTTTATGCCAATACGTCATAAACAGTTTTTAGGTGTCACTTGGGTTTTCAACATTTATCAAATACTGTAATCTGTTATTGTGTGTTATAATCATTCATCGTATTTCACATATATTATAAATAGTAATCGATTGTCACATGTGCTTAAAACAATAAAAACATTCCATATAAACAGGTGTTATGTACAGTATTCAATTTTTTCATGTTTATGATACAGTTAAATTAAAGAATTGAGGGATAGAGCACGATTCTGGTTTCCAGGAACACGCTTACCTCTCTAGTTGAAGGGAAATACCTATTGACGAGCCAACGCTTTAATCGATGTAAACAGGAGATGTATTTTACAAGAAAGTATTGAACTTCGGTTAAATGTAAAGTGAAACAAAATCCAGTGAATCAGTAAGAAACAGACTCGTATCCGAATTTTGAAATAGATTCGCACATCCCTTACGGCATATGCGTAGGCGTGTATGAAACGAGGACTTCGCCGATGTGTTCGCAAACCAGTTCTGCCTACATCTCGTCCAATTGGCTAGTTGGAAACACAAGAAATATACAGCTAATCAAAATGGAGGAAAAGGCTGGAATTTATTATATTTAATCAGTACCATTAGTATAGAATAACTGAAGAAGACGTACATTAAGAGTATATGACACGTGTGTTTAATATAATTATTTAATTAATTTTTGAAGTATACATTTAGAATAAAAAATACGATATCTAACAACAGTTTCATTACACCTGAAATTTGTTTACTCTGTATAAAAAGAGAGAGTTGAATCGATAATTTCTGTATTTTTGCCTCGGCTTCGCCAAGGCTCAGTCCTGTATTTTAGTCAGAAAAGTAAAACATAAACACTAATTTACTTTTCTTTGTTTCCGCCGACAATAGGATATTATAACGAGATGCGAGATACCGTAGTTTTGGGAGTGTCTCTTGTTCCCCACAATTCGAGAGCCTCATTTTCGATTTCCTGACATGGAAATCAGTTACGCGACTCTCTAAAAGTTACTAAAATAGACATGACAGCCTCGTTCAAATTTCTCACACTACCGCAGAACACAAGATTGAGAATCATGGGTATTTTTCCATTCTGTTTACCTCTGGATTTATCCAAAGACTATCAAAGTTTGGAAAGAAAATAACTCGGTTGTCGTCATTTCCGGAACAAGATAATTAGTCTATGATGGACGCTGGAGCGTAGCAATGGCTTGATCGTTTTCAAAAGGTATGAGTCTGCGCATTATTCGAATAAATTGGCGATACTTACATTATTAAAATAAACAAGACTGAGGTTATGCTTTGTGGTGAAAAAAGACAAGTTTTTGCCATATCGCCACATGTGATTTGTCAATCGGGCTCCGCATCAAACTGCGACTGCAAAATTTTGATGCTTGTTCATGAAGCACTTGATGTTGTGATATCATTTGTATCAATCGATGACATAATTACTAAGACTAATGATAATGGGATATTGATTCATTTTTCAGTCTACGTTGATTTCCGAGTTGCAATGCTGTGTTAACAAGATCGAAGATTTTTTCATGTTATATACAAACCAAGTTCAATGTTTGTATTTTCACGGAAATATTTGAAATATTTCACCTATAAATACAAAAAGTTCAGAAGAATCACTTAAAATGAATGTGTAGCGGTACGAAAACCTTCAAGGGGTACTCACAATAACGTTTTCTTCAGTGACACATTTCCCCCATAATTGTTAAAATTCAGCGAGACTGTTTCCCCGTAGTCGTGTCAGTAAATAGAATTCTCTCACAATAACGTTTTCTTCCGTAACACATTTTCCCCATAATTGTTAAAAATCAGCGATACTGTTTCCCCGTAGTCGTGTCAGTAAATAGAATTCTCTCACAATAACGTTTTCTTCCGTAACACATTTTCCCCATAATTGTTAAAATTCAGCGAGACTGTTTCCCCGTAGTCGTGTCAGTAAATAGAATTCTCTCACAATAACGTTTTCTTCCGTAACACATTTTCCCCATAATTGTTAAAAATCAGCGATACTGTTTCCCCGTAGTCGTGTCAGTAGAGAGAATTCCCCCACAATACCGATTTCTTCAGTGGCACATTTTCCCCATAATTGTTAAAATTCAGCGAGACTGTTTCCCCGTAGTCGTGTCAGTAAATAGAATTCTCTCACAGTAACGTTTTCTTCCGTAACACATTTTCCCCATAATTGTAAAATATCAGCGAGACTGTTTCCCCGTAGTCGTGTCAGTTAAGAGAATTCCCCATCATAACGTTTTCTTCAGTGACACATTTTCCCCATAATTGTAAAAAAATCAGCGATACTGTTTCCCCGTAGTCGTGTCAGTAAAGAGAATTCCCCCACAATACCGATTTCTTCAGTGACACATTTTCCCCATAATTGTTAAAAATCAGCGATACTGTTTCCTCGTAGTCGTGTCAGTAGAGAGAATTCCCCCACAATACCGATTTCTTCAGTGACACATTTTCCCCATAATTGTTAAAAATCAGCGAGACTGTTTCCCCGTAGTCGTGTCAGTAAAGAGAATTCCCCCACAATAACGATTTCTTCAGTGACACATTTTCCCCATAATTGTTAAAAATCATCGAGACTGTTTCCCCGTAGTCGTGTCAGTAAATGTCATACCTAAAAGCATTTGTCATGTATTATTTCTGTCTTACTGATAATTGATTTAAATGTATTGAGAGAAGGAGAGTCTGATGTTTTATTGAGGAAACAAATAATCTATTCGCGATTTGTTTCTGTAAGTGTACGTTAAATGTTGTAAGACAGATAACGTGTTTTACACTGTAATATGACGCCTGCAGTATTCGTTTCACATTTTCTATGAATAATGTATAATCGTTACAAAAGCTCATCTTGGAATCAAACGATGATTACTGGTTAGGCATATATCAGTCAATGAATAAATAAACAAGTTTATTGTAACATTTTAATGCGTTGCGATGATCAAACCTTGAAAAAAAGTGAAAAGGTAATAGGTAAGTCCGCTTTTCCCGATATTCCAATCACCAGCAAATTAAAATCGAATTAATCTAGTCCATGTTGATTATTTACATAATAAGTAGATCTTGATCAAGCGCAAATCGAAAATATCAGGAAAATCTAATTTGCATATTTAAATAACTCATTTAAATATGGTGTCAAATTTGGAGATAGTAACGTTTAAAGGCCCCCTTTTTTAAAGCAAAGATACGCCCACCATCTTCCATTTGGTACATTTGTTATATTGGTGTCATGACGTCGACTATGTGGTTTTAGAGTCATTTGCATACATGGTGCTGTTTCACTTAAAATTCAATGCAACGAATAAAATCAACCTGTTAGGAGGTATTCATGTTTAAAATAACCAACTACGTAGCAATATTTTCGCAACAAAACTGAAATATGGTGAGATTTTGAAGCTAGTATGCTCTGGTGTTGCGAGTTTCTTTCACATACGTTCCATATACGTTACCTATCCCGTGATACCAAATGATAGCATGTAAAAATAATGAAATAAAATCAGTTAAACGGAGGTGAAGACCGAAATTCATTACCACAATTTACAAAATGCAACGCCCGACATTAGTTCAATGTCTTATTTCATTGGAATTCTGAAATGAGTGCATTTGAAATGAATAGATTTGAAACACCGCGATTAAGATTTGTCCTGTTGTATATATATAGAATACAAGAGCGTGTTAAACACGTATTCAAAAAGAAGCCAACTGTGATTATTTTTGGTTGGTTTTCTTTTTACTATGGCTGACTCTCATATCGACATCGATATTTTGAAGTGCTCCGTGCGTTTTACTGTCTCGGGTCCAAGAAGAAACACCGTCACCCGTTTCGAGATAGTGAAGGTTTTGATTGATGCTGGCGTACCACCTGATGAACTGAAATGTGTTTTCAGATGTGAAGCCCCGAACTCATGGTTCGCAACCTTTTCAACTACGTACCAGGTGGACAGATTGGTGGAATCCGGCGCCATTAATAAACCGCAGTTCTCCTTACTGCCGGAGCCCTGTGACAGGAGACGCCTCACCATCCGGGTCATGTGGCTGCCCTCCTGGATGTCGGACGAAGCGATATCCAGGACCTTTGACGAGGTGTACGGGAGGGTTGTGTGCGTGGAGAGGGAGACCACGACCATTGGACAGGTCTCTCTTGAAACCGGGACCCGGGTTCTCTCCCTGGTGATACGGGAGGGCGACCAGGACCTCCTCCCTCACAGGATGAGGATCCAAGGGAAGACAGCCTTGGTAGTGGTGCCGGGTCGACCCCCTATTTGTCTACGCTGCCAGCAGGTCGGCCACGTCAGGGCGCAGTGCCCCGGAAGACAAGTCCAGAGGTCTTACGCCAGGGTGACTGATTCTTCCAATGTCCTTCAGCCCCCGGAGGAGTCAGGAGGCCCCTTGGAGAACGCCGCGAGCCCCTCGACTGGAGGGAGCGATAAGGACCCCGCGAGCCCCTCGCCCGGATGGAGCGGTATGGTGACCGTGGCCGCGAGCCCCTCACCCGGAGGGAGCGGTATAGCTTCCGCGAGCCCCTCGCCCGGAGGGAGCGGTACCGATGACCCTAATCGTCCTTCTAAGCGTCCTGTTCCCCTGGTGGACCAGGAGGGGTTCAAGGTGTCAAAGAAGGGGAAACACTCCGGTATCTCCCCCATCATTATTCCAAATGGCGATTTGGCCCCTGGACAAAGGACCCCCTTGGACCCCCAGGAGGACGATCCAATGTCAGACTCGTCGGAGGACCAGTTAGTCATCGATGAAGAGGCCCTCTGTGAGTAAGTTCTATGCATTTGTTTCCGGAAATGAACTTTATTATAATCCAATTGATCATGGCGGCGGCGCAGCGTTCCCGTTTCGACTCCCTTTTGTCCACGGACTTTGTTTCCCCAACCTATATGGTATTTTTCGTACTGATATACGGTTTCATTAGCTTCCATTTATATTGTATGATATGTATCAATAGTCCTTTCTTAAACAGTCTTATTTCTCGTATATTGTTAGTCGGTACAAATACTGGTTTACAAAACCGGTCTTTGCTATCCGAATTTTGCACGTATTGTCATCTTAACGTCAGTTTTGACTTTTGTATTTACTATACGGTCCTTACTATTCAACATCAACTGTTTTATCTCTGCAATGCGTTGTTAGTATACGTCTGTTGTTTCATAATTCAGAATGTTCCTAACGTTTATCTCAGTATTGTTAGCTTCATCATGTCACATTTGTTAGTTATGCAAGCGTATTTTAACATAACTATTATGTTTTTACATTTCACCGTGCCTGCATATATGAATTATTTCAATATTGTATTGTTTGGGATTTTTTATTTCAGAATGTTTCGTAATGGTTTTTTCTAAATTCATTCAAATACTTTACATAAAGCTAACACTACATTTACCTGAGCGCCATTTACCCGTGCTGGTGTTCAGTGGTATCACGCTTGTTATAGCTCGCGGCTACGTGTACGCGCGCATGCTTCCTTTTACCTGTGTTTTGTCACATTTATTGCCTCGCTATTTCCGGCCGTTTATACACTCACCTTTTCCGATGTATACTTACCTGTCCTGTTTTTATAGATATGGTTGTTTTTCTCGTTCAGTACCTTGTCGGATTCCCTAAAATATACAATAAAATGGAGAGTACTAATAGTAATACGATGAACATAATTACTTGGAATTGTAATGGGTTTTTATCTTAAACAAAACAGTATGAATTGAGTGATTTTGTCCATAACTATAAAATAGATGTTGTTTTACTTAAAGAGACTCATGTCTCTAACTTGTCAGTTGCTAAGAATATTGAAAGATTTTTAAAATGTAAAGCTTTTTGGAATTTTGGGACTTCTCAAAGTAGGGGTACTGCAGTCTTGTTTTTTTTATAGATGTAGAATTACAGAAATTTGATTTTGATGAAGATGGTAGAGTCTTAGAAAAAAGAAACTTTGTAAATAAATATATAGTAGAGCTTATTGCAGATGACGGTAGAATTCTTGACAGTCCAAGGGAGATAATTCAGACTGAAGTTGATTTTTTCAAAAAACTTTAAAGTTCTAGACAAGTAGACAATACTCATGTTGATAATTCTTATTTTTTAAAACATGAAATTAAATTAAATCAAACTGATAGGGATAGCTGTGAAGGAATTATAACTATAGATGAATTGTCAAAAGCTTTAAAAATATGAAAAATGACAAGAGTCCAGGTTCGATGGTTTTGGTGCAGAATTTTATAAATTTTTCTGGAAAGATATAGGAATATTTTTATGCAGGTCAATTAATTATGCATACAGTACTGGTCACCTTTCCGAATTTCAGAGTCAAGGAGTTATCACATGTATTCCAAACACAGAAAAAGATAGACGATATTTGAAAAATTGGAGACCAATATCACTCTTGAACATTGATTACAAAATAGCGTCTGCAGCAATAGCAAATAGAATCAAACAAGTACTTCCGAATATTATTAGTGAATCTCAAACTGGTTTTATTAAAGGTAGATTTATTGGAGATAATACTAGGCTATTGTATGATGTAATGCAATTTCTAGATGAAAAAGATCAGCCTGGGTTATTGTATCTTTTGGACTTTGAGAAAGCTTTCGATTCTGTAGAATGGAATTTTATTGATAAAGCTTTGGAATCTTTTAACTTTGGTTTATCTTTACGTAAATGGTTCAAGACTTTGTATAATGATTCAAAAAATTGTATTATTAATAACGGTCATATATCGCCTTTCTTCAGTCTCGAACGTGGCTGCCGCTAAGGGGACCCATTATCACCGTATATTTTTATTATTGTTGTTGAACTATTAGCACGATCATTGAAATCAGACAATGGTATCAAAGGTTTGGTAATATCTGGGAAAGATTTTTTACTTGGGCAATACGCAGATGATGCTTATCTCCTCTTAGATGGATCCAGCCATTCTCTTTCTACTGCTGTACACATTTTAGAAGATTTTGCTATTTTATCAGGGTTAAAGGTTAATTTACAAAAGTCAAGCTTATATTGGATTGGTAGTAAGAAATTTTCAGAAGACAGAATATGCCCAGAATTGAATTTGAAATGGTCAACAGACAAATTTAAGTTACTAAGTGTAAACTTTTTCTCTTAATATTCAGGATATGGAAAGGATAAATTTTGATAGTAAATTGCACCAAATAAATAAAATTTTCAGACTGGTCATGTCGTGATCTCACCTTAATAGGTCGAATAACTATTGCAAAGACTCTTATTATACCAAAATTTGTACACTTATTCATCTGTTTACCAAACCCTTCTAGCCTGTTCATAAATGAACTCAATCAGAGTATTTACAATTTTGTATGGAATTATAAAAGTGAAAAGATCAAACGAGATATGTTAATTGCTAGCGTAGAAGATGGAGGACTGAATATAACACATTTGGTTTCTTTTATTAAATATTTAAAGGTTAAATGGATAAAAAGAGTTTATGGAGAATTCAATGCATCATGGAAATCACTACTTAATGAAATCTTTCCTGTTGATATTGATATCTTATTTGATCTTGACAGAGTAAATCTGAGAGAAATTGGAAAAAATGTAAAAAAAAAAAAAAAAAAAAAAAAAAATTTTGGCAGGATGTATGTTTTGCATTATCTGAAATTCAATTTGAAGCATCAACTATTCAGGAATATTTGGGCAAGAGTTTGATAAATTTAGTTCCATACAAGAAAATAAAAAAGGCTGTTCTCTGGAGTCAGCATGGGCTGAAAAGCATTAGTGATCTTTATGAAAATGGGGTACTTAAAAACTACGTTGAATTCTCTGATGTACCATCGTTTGATTTTATTGAGCATTTGTCTTTAGTTAATAAGTTGGAAAGAAAGTGGAAGTTAGAATTAAGACAAGAAGTAGAAAATGCTAACACTATCACTCCTATTAAAGGAAAGGACATCATTTCTTCAATTATGATTGAAAAGAATTTAAAGTGTGTGTATAAAATGTTCATTGAAAAGATAGTTATTAAGCCATTAAGATGTCAAGTAAAATGGGCAACAAAAATTAATTTTAACGAAAATATTAGTTGGGGTGATGTATACACTAGTTGTTTTAAATGTACAAAAGAGACCAAACTTCAAGCATTTCAATATAAAATTTGTCACAGAATACTTCCCACAAACTATATCTTATTCAAAATGAAAATAGCATCCACTGAACTTTGTACTTTCTGTGAAAGAGAACCAGAAACAGTGGAACACATCTTCACCCAGTGTTATTTCACAATCCGACTAATTGAGGAATTTACTGCCTGGTATGTACAGTACAATAATCTACATATATATACATCGTTTAGAGAAGTAGATATTTTGTTTGGAAAACCTGAATTCGGACTCTGTTTGAATCATATTGTTAAAACAGCACATTTACTCTTGTCGAGTTAAAGAGTGCATACCTAACTTTGAAATTTGTAAAATTTTATTCAAAAAGACAATGAAAACTGAAAAGTGGGTTAGTATAAAGAATAATAGATTAGCGGAATTTCAACAAAAATGGGGATGTTTTGAAAATGCGTTGGACATATAAAAATACTTAACGTTGCTTATATATATTCCCCTTTTTATATTGTAAGATCATTAGTAACAAAACACATATCAAGAGTGATGTTTCAGTTGGGTTAGGCCCTCTTACAATGCCCCGGGGTACCCTTTTGCACACAATGTCACTCTTTTTTCTTGGGGGAGGGGTGGGGGGAATTATGTAAATGTGAATTGTGTACATGTGGTAACAGTGAGAATGGTGAGAGGTGTACAGTTATGTTTAGATTTAGCTTATTGTTAGCAGTCGTAATGTTGAATGTAAGGAATGTTAGTATGAACATTTAAGACTAACAGTATGTGTTTAGGTGTGTGTGCATGTATTTCATAGTCTGGAATATGAGAAGTCTGAATAATGTGTGAAAGTATGAGAGCCCTCCTGTGTGAGGACACATTTGTAATCTTATGTATGTCTCGTCTTAGTCAATAAAATGTTTGAAAAAAAAAAGATGGTAGAGTCGTGTTGGTGGATTTTAGATATTTTGATAGTGAATATAGAATTATTGATGTGTATACCTCGAATATTGAAGAAGAACGGAAATCATATTTTGAAGGCACTATTCATCTGTTTTCCTGTAGAAGGCCGGTTAATTTTGCGGGCGACTTAAATTGTATTGAAAATAGTTCTCTTGACAAACTAGGTGGTAATCCGGTCAATGTTCCCAAATGTACTTTCAACCACGTGGCATGGAAATGGTGTTTCATGTCGATTAGATCGTTTTTATATTTCGCGTTGTTTAAAGCAACATTTATTGAAGAATGAGGTTTTTCCGTCCGGTTTCTCCGATCATGATTTTATATTTTTAAAAATTGAATTATTTTCAGAAGCTAAGTTTGGTCCTTCTTACTGGAAATTAAATAATAGTGTATTGCAAGACAGGTCTTTCAAATATCTTTTAAGGATTTTTGGCTTGATTTAGTTAAAGATACTCCTGTATTATTAGATAATTGGGATGACTTAAAATCTGTTGTTAAATTTTTCATTATTGAATATTGTAAAAAGAAGGCCAAGGTCAGGCGCAGTGTGTTAAAATCCTTACAATACAGGTTTAATGAATTACATGTCTTAGAGAAACAATCACCGGGTGATTTTATAGACCAGATTAACTCTGTTAAAAATCAAATAAATCACTTTCATCTTGATAGTTATCGAGGATCTATGATAAGATCAAGAGCCATGTTTTTAGATTTTTCAGAAAAACCTTCCAGATATTTTTTTTAAAA